GGGCATGTGCCCTGACTGGGAATCGAACCCCAATCGCCTGGATCCTAGATCAACACTCAACCGCTGAGCCACGCCCAGCCGGGCAGAACTTATTTCTTAATGTTGAGACATTTTAAGCAAGAACAAGGGATATCTTTTAATTTATTGAAGTCTATTTTTGTGCCTTTCAGAATATTTTATAATATTTTTTATTAGTTTTGAATGTCTTTAAAATGCTTTTCCTAATATTTTATCTTTTTGTTTTTGTTATAAATGTCCATTATTTCTTTTAACTAGTTATTATTCATGCAATGAGTAGTATTGCTTTTGCATTTTAATTTTATATCCTGCTACCTTGCTGAATTATTTTCTTGAGTTAGTTTTATGGTAGCTTCTCTAGGATTTCCAGGAATACTGTCATGTCATCTGTAAATATAGTTTGCCCCACCAGCATGGCTCAGTGGTTGAGTATAGACCTATGAACCAGGAGGTCACAGTTTGATTCCCAGTCAGGGCACATGCCCAGGTTGTGGGCTTGATCCCCAGTAGGGGCGTGCAGGAGGCAGGCAATCAATGACTCTCTCTCATCACTGATGTTTCTATCTCTCCCTCTCTCTGAAATAAAAAATAAAATAAATGTGACTCCAAATTAAAAAAAAAAAAAAAAGTTTTGCCTTTTGTTTTCTAATTCTTATTCCTTTGTTTTCTCTTGTCTAATTGCATTGGCTCATAACTCCATAATATTGTTAAATAATAGTCGATATAGTGGCATTCCTATATTATTTCTGACCTTAATGGGAATGACTCTTGGTGTTCTCTGTTAAGTAATATGTTGACATTAGGATTGAAGTGTGTGCATGTAAAATGAAACTATCCATCCCTTCCTATTTTATTTTTTCAAGAATTTTTATTAGGAATGGGTGTTGGATTTTATCAAAGGTTTTTCAGCACCTATGGATATAACCATATGATTTTTCTCTATAGACTTATTAATATGATGCATTATATTAACCATTTTTCTAAATTTGAACCATTATTGCATTCTTGGTATAAACCCCATTTCATCACAAAATATTATTTTCTTACAGTAGAGTTAGAGTCTGTTAGCTAATCTATCCCTTAGAATTTTTGCATTAATATGAAAAAATCACTTCCATTTAAACTTTTTTTGTTTTGCATATATACCATTTTTATTAGGTTTAGGTATTATTGCTTCATGAAATGACTAAATGTTTGCCCTGGCCAGGTGGCTCAATTGGTTGGGCATTGTCCCATACACCAAGAGATTGTGGGTTCAATTCCCAGTCAGGGCACATACCTAGGTTGCTGGTTCCGTCCCCATCAGGGTGTGTACGGGAGGCAACTGATTGTTTTCCTTCATTTTCTATGCTATGAAATGGTGTGTGTAGATTTGAGACTATCTGGTTGTTGAGAGACAATTCCCAGTTCTCCATGGGTTTCTTGCATTTCTGCACACTTGCAAGTTAGGCAGTAACACCCTTTATTTCCTACTGTCCCAGCTTTGTTTCCTTTGTGTAGTGCAAGGTATCTTCCAACCTTAGAAAATATAGTGTCTCCCCATAAAGGTCAGATTTCCATACAGCCCTAGAAGATACAGCTAGCTAACTTCTCCCTGTAGAGCAAAAAGCAAACATGCTCTACAAAAACAAAAATAATGTTTCCCTTCAGAACAAAGGACCAGCATGCTTATTGCCCATTGTAAAATATTCATGCGCCATACCTCAGGGTTCTTCTGTAATGCAACTGACTGCAGATCCAAGTGTTATCTGGCCATTTTGTATTGCCCTATGGGAATTAGGGCTCAGGAAACTGGCCCCCAATACTGATACTGTAGCTACTGCTATTGCTGTGAGTAATTTACTGTCTTTTATGTCTGACCTCAGTTTTGTTTTCTACAAGCATCAATGAAATTGTGACAGGCTAACTTGTTAGCTTGCAAGTAGGGTAACATCTCAAGCCTTCTCACTTGACACTGGTCTTTAAAGTTGTGGTAAAATTCTCCTAGAAACCATTTTTTGAAGTAGTTCCTTGGTAACTTGCTCTATTTTTTTTTTTTTATGGAAATCAGTCTATTTAAGCTTTTAATGTTTACTGTTCGATTTAAAAATTTTATGTGCTTATTTGTTTGGAGCAAAGGAATGGGGTCTCACGAATGAACTTTTATTTTCCCTTGAGATTTTGCTTTCCTGAAGGACCATTGTCATTTTAAATAACTACAGCACCTTCTTAACTTGCAGTAAATAAGAAAATATGCTTAGTAGCTAAAGTTATAAAGATGAATGTCCTTTCTGTGTTTGTTTTTTTATGGCTGGTAGTTGTACAGTCATTATAAAGGTGCATGGCCCTTCTGTTTGTTTTTCTACAGGTGGTGGTTGTACAGGCAATTAGTGCTCTCTGCCAGAAATACCCACGAAAGCACAGCGTCATGATGACTTTCCTCTCCAACATGCTCCGAGACGATGTAGGTGGACTATTTTGTAATCATAGGAAGTTGCTCTCTTTAAATTCTCACGATTCCCATTAAATATCATGGTATTTAAAGCAGCTTTCTTTATCATCTCAGCATGCCTCTCAAATAAAGCACTCACTTCTGGTTGCTGACTTGCCATTACTAAACATTCTATTGCTTTAGTTTTCCCTGGAGAAAAAACACTTCTGTTTCTTTCATAAAGGAAGGGAAATGAAATTTTAATATTATAAGCATGAACCTTGGAGTATAAGCATTTCTCCAAAAAGCATCCTCAGAACGAATGGCTGTTTTCTCTTTTGCCAGGGAGGCTTCGAATATAAGCGGGCCATTGTGGACTGCATCATCAGCATTGTGGAAGAGAACCCTGAGAGCAAAGAAGCAGGCCTGGCCCACCTTTGTGAATTCATTGAAGACTGTGAGCACACTGTTCTGGCTACAAAGATTCTCCACTTGTTGGGCAAAGAGGGCCCCAGAACGCCTGCTCCCTCCAAGTATATCCGCTTTATTTTTAATAGGGTCGTACTGGAAAATGAGGCTGTCAGAGCTGGTAAGTCATTGGAGCACTGATGAGGATGTCACTGCTGAGCTTTTGCAGTGCTTACCTCAAGGGGGTGGTGATGAAATTGGAAAATGGGCCTGCAGGATCTACTTGATGGTGGGGTCTTGGTGCATACTTAGGCCCCAGGTATGCAGCTGTTTCTCTGTACCCCATTGTACGTCCTAATTCTGCCTTATATAAGAGACAGGTAACTCTTGACTTTCAGTAGGATAGGAATACTGTGATGGCATCATCCACTTTTTCAGAGTTAGAGCCATAAATATGAATGAATGTGTGTGCGTGTCTGTATATTTTTAAGTGTCTTTTTAAACAGGTCTTAGGAATTTTTTTACTTCCTCCTCCCTAATCATTTCTTCTTCTTAGCATATGAACAGGTTCAAATTTCTTCTGTTAAAAATATAAACCCTCCTTTGATTAGCTGTCTCTATTTAGCTACTGCCTCTACTTCCCCTATCAGGTAAACTTGAAGTAGCCACTACCAGCTGCCTCATGAACTTATTTTCCATTTTCTCTTCAACTCACTATAATCTAGCTCTCTTCCTTAAAAATCCTCTGAAGCTATTTTTTAAAAATATCACTTATAAGCTAGTTGGAAAATCAAGTTAGACACTTTAGTGTTTTTATCTTTGTTCACCTCTCAGTCAGTTTAATGTACTATTGACTAAACACTTCATGAAACTCTCTTTCCCTTGGTTTCCACAATAGCCTACATCTTTCCATCACTCCTCAGACTTATTTATAGAGCTCCTTTTCCATTCCCTAAAGTAATAGTTTTCCTTAGGGGTTTGTCTTCTTAACATACACATTTTTTCTGGTGATCATTTTCAGAGCTCTACTGATAGGCAATAACATTGCAGTCATGCCTCTTTCCTGAACTTGTATGTCCAACTATCTAAGACACTTCAAATTCAACTTGAAATTCAGACTCACCCAAACTGAGGTCTTCACCTTTATCATCCACTCAGTTGCAAAGGCAGAAACTTACTCCACTGTTTTATAACCTGCATCTATTCTTTGGGAAAATTCTATCAATTCTGTGTCCTTAATATTTCTTCATTCTCTTTTCCCTCTATTTTCACGGATGCTGCTTTAGGCTCTCATTTATTTCCAGTGCCCACCTAGTCTGACTGCTTCCAGTCTCATACAGATCCGGTCTGCTGCACACTCTACTACAAAAATGGACTTTGCATACAGAGGCTTAACAAACTTAATGAAGCACACTCTGTTGCTAATACACACGTTTATCCTGTATTTAACATCTTTTGATAATAACTTGGAGGCTAAACCAGAGCCTATTTTTGTTTTATCTCTGGTCTTGCACTCATCTCCTCCTGCTCTCCAACACTGGTCCTGTTCTTCAGCCTTCTTTACCTGTGTCTGCTTCCAGTGTGACACCATGCTTTCTCCTCTGGGCTCAGGGCCTCTGCACTTACCATTCTCTCTGCTTCTAAAACCGTTTTCCTTCCATTTCCCTCTGGCTAATGCTACTTGTTCAAAACTTAGCTCAAGTAAAGTGCTAACTTCTTATCTCACTTCTCCACCAATTCTGATTTCAGTTTCTTTCTTTGCATTCACTTAGCTGTCTGGATATAGTTCTCTCATGGGCTTACTGTGCTGTGTTGTAATCATTTTTTTACTTACCTGTTTTTCCCACTAAATTACAATTTCTTCAAGTCAAGGGCTATGCCTTTTATCTTTCTACCCCCAGCACCTATCACAATTCCTTACATAAGTTAGGTGAGCAATAAATCTTTGCTGAATGAAGTGAATTTTAATAATAGAGCATCTTTTTATGCTTGGAGCTGGTTGATACTGGAGCTTAATTATATCAGTATCAACTGATACTGATATCAGTATAATTATATCAGTATATAAGAGGTTGTCGTCGGGGTGGAGGATAGCTCATAAAAGAAATAACATGATTTTTTCCTATGATGCATGGAGGATTTTCCTGTTCATAGCTCTCTTGGGTCTGCAGATTTCTGTTTATGCTTAAATGGATCAAAGAAATAAGATCAAGAAACAATAAAACAATAAGAGTTTATTCCCACTGAACATGAGGAAACTTCTCTAATTTTTTTTGTATGATTATTACTTAACCCTAGAAACCAGTATTTATGTTGCTTCATTTTATGCTTCATTATAGCTGCTGTGAGTGCTTTAGCTAAATTTGGGGCTCAGAATGAGAACCTTCTCCCAAGCATTCTTGTACTCTTACAAAGGTAAATAAAAGAGCATCTTTGTTGTTGTTTTGTTGTTTAAATAAGAACTGCCATATGGCTGAATAGAGAGTTCCTTATTGTACCATATCAAATGCAGTGCAGGGCCTGAGAGTAGAGCTGATGGAGTGAGGGGCAAATGGCATTTTTGTTCTCGTAATTTTGTATATGTTAAGTAAATATAAAATTTGATTTTGAATTTCTCTTTGTATGATTTTGAGAAAGCAACTTAAATGCATGTGCCTCAATTTGTATATTAGGGGCTAAATAACTTCAAAGTGAGTCACTAAGTAGAGTTGAAACTATCAGCTTTTCAAGGTCTCCATGACTCCCTATTTGATGAAGAATATACTTAGCGTTAGCAAAAACTGATTACATCTTATTATTGAAGTGGAAAAATGATAAGCCAAAGGTTGGCTGGGTTAAATGAAACAAATTGCCATGTGAGTAGTAACAGTGCCTGGATTTTGAATGCTTTTTAGTATCTTTAGAAAGTCTAATATTCCCATTTCTTAATTATAAAGAAGTCTAAGTCTTTACCAGGATCATGTGTTTGCAGATCCAAGAAAAGACTCCAAACCGCTATCTCATGTTACTGTGCTCTTCCTAATGATTTCAGTGCCTACTTATGTAGTGCTTCTGATTCATAATGACACCATTTCTTTACCAATTGAGAGTAGTCCCCAAGATTTATGGAGATTTTAGGATCCACCGTTGGCTGTTGCTGAGTTCCTTTATAATACAGGTAGTGTCAGCTGGCCTGATTGAGTTTTTTAGGTATGGTGGTAAAGCTCTTGGCAATCTTTAGGGTGCTGTGACCCGCCTATTTGTATCCCCTGGACAGGTGTATGATGGATACTGACGATGAGGTACGGGACAGAGCTACCTTCTATCTGAATGTGCTGCAGCAGAGGCAGATGGCACTGAATGCTACATACATCTTCAACGGTCAGTGAGAGCCAAGATGCAGACAGAGACACTTTTGCTCCCCAGATGGTGTCTTGGAAGCACATCTTATGATTTGTATATGAGCTGATTTCACTAGGCAAAATGCTTGTTTTATGTCTTTGAATACACGTCCATTTCTAGGGAAGCCTAAAGTATGTAAAAGCCCAGAGAATATTGCTTGCCCCTGGTCCCCTTGAGCTCCTTCTTAGGTGGGTTTCCCTTATCCCTTCTTTAGCCTCTCATTGTTCCCATGTGGCTCAGTTGCTCTCTTTTCTGGAAGGTACTTATATTTTGTTGAAAATGTTCATGCTCTGCTCCCATGCTTCCTTGGATGCAATTATAAGGAAATTTTATATAATAGCCTTTACATTTAATTTCTTATGTTATAAAGTGTGTGGTTACATTTTTCCCCTCCTTCAGAAAGCGTAGATAAATCTGGGCCTATCTGGGTCCTAGCATTGGCAAGAAGTTATAATGCTGAGATTTCTGTTTCATAGGTCTGACAGTGTCTGTACCAGGGATGGAAAAAGCTTTACATCAGTATACACTGGAGCCTTCAGAAAAACCCTTTGACATGAAATCTATTCCTCTTGCTATGGCTCCTGCCTTTGAACAGAAAGCAGGTAATGGGAACACTTCACTGTTAGTTTTTCTATGTTTAAGTAGTGTTATTAGCATATTTTCTCTAGTACTTCCTTTGTTTGTTTAATTGTCACTCTATTTTTATTAGGTTTTAAAAAGTTTTTCCTGGTTTTTGCCTAAAAGCTAAAATGTGAAGTGTAACCCAGATTGAAAGTTTTTTTTTTCAGGGCTCAGTATTACGGCATTTGAAGTTAGTTGTCATTGTATCTCAGAGCAGTAATTGTGCTGTCACCTTCTTTTATTTTCTGAAGTTGGTAATTTCTTAATTTTGCTATTAGAGGTTTATCTAGAAAGAATGTATGGGACAAGATCATAAAAAAATATTCCCAAGGAATATCTAACTTTAAAACTCAGAAAAAGAAAGGAACAAATGTTCAGAACTGAGAATGAATGATCTTATTAACTTTAAACATTTTCAGTTTTCCTGTTGATACTATTGAAGTAATTTTTCCTATTTGAATCATGAGAAGATTTACTTTATAAATTGTTCCTCTTAAGAATAGTTTTTGTACATTCTGGCCCATTTAATGCAAATTCTATATTTTTAGAGCTTGCTTTATTGTATCACAAAATATGTTCACTAAATATATTTTAATTTGAACGTCCCTCTAAAAAAAAGTGACAGAAGCCTACTGGTGTTTTTAGCAATGGCTCCTTTTATGTCTGCTAGAAGTTTCTGCCCTGATGCCTTTCTCTCTGTGTTTTCAGCTTGATAGTGGGAGGGAAGCTCATTTGATTACTCATATCTGTCTTTCTAGAAATCACACTTGTGGCTACTAAGCCAGAGAAGTTGGCTCCTTCCAGGCAAGACATTTTCCAAGGTATGATAATTTGATGGGTAGAAGTAATAGTCTGCACCCTAGGCATTGTAAATATAACGAAGTCCATTACTTTCATTCAGTTTGATGAATTCTCAGTGCAGGAAATCTTTGTGTAGCTGAATATTTGTTGTCATAGGTTACAGTTGCTGGGGCTACCTGAAGTCTGTGGGACATTCCAGTTGTCAAAGCTAATGTACTAACTGGGAATGTTGTTCTTACTTTGTATCTTGGTTAACAGGGAACTCAAATTCTGAGAGATTAGGAATATAGGGTTTTTTGCTTTTAGTAATTGAGTATATATACTCTTAAAATATTATTTTAGTAAAGCTTGGGGACATATTAGAGTGTTCAGTTATTAGTAAGGTTCTGGAATCTCAAAAGCGTTATAAGCATCCAGAATAATGTCTTTCTCTGTCTTCGCATTTTGGTCTCTCCCTTCTTTTCTTTCCCTTTCCTTGATAGAACAATTGGCTGCTATTCCTGAGTTTATGAATCTGGGACCCTTGTTCAAGTCTTCTGAGCCTGTTCAGCTTACAGAAGCAGAGACAGAATACTTTGTTCGTTGCATCAAGCACATGTTTACCAATCACATTGTGTTCCAGGTGAGATGAGAGCCCTGACTGGCCCCTGTGGGGGCTCAGTATGCTTGGAGACAAGTATTAACTCCCCTTTAGTTTTTGATTCTAGTACTCTTATAGAGAATGAACTTGGCAGCATTTCTGGTTTTCTTTCCTAACTCCCATGGGTGCCATCATATGATGGGTTAAAAACTAAAAGGACTTAAAAACAAAATGTCTGAAGAAGTTGGACAACATAAAGTTTAACCTGTTAAAAAATGATCATCATTTAACATCAGGGTAAATAAAGTGGGTTGTTCTAAAAACTTAGCTTCTAAGAATCAAATTGAAATCCTTTAAGCATCTGCCATCTTGTTTGGTAGAACTAAGTCTCAGGAAAGGAAAAAAACTAGTGAATGATAGAAGCCCCAGAGCCTCGAGGATAAGGCTTCCGCAGTTCCTAAAGAAAAACCTTAGGAGGAAGCCCACAGTGCTATTTAGAGAGGGAAGGGATAGTGAGTTCCAAAACTGAGTTGTGGGTTCTGGGTGGGAAGGAACAACTTCCTTGCAAACCCCTCTTATCCTTCATAATGTTTTTCTGTTTGCTGACTTTCAGTTTGACTGTACCAACACTCTCAATGACCAGCTACTGGAGAAAGTGACAGTGCAGGTGGAACCATCAGATTCCTTTGAAGTGCTATGTTGTATCCCAGCTCCCAGCCTCACTTATAATCAACCAGGAATATGTTACACTCTTGTTCGCTTGCCTGATGATGACTCTTCAGCAGGTACTAACCCATAGAAGGGAAGAGAAAGTTATATGATTAAGAATGCATTACCACTTGAGCTCTTAAATGTCTGGACACATTCGGGGTTCAAGAATATGGTTCTTTTCTAGAATTAAATGTAATTATAATGATGGTATATTTCTAGTTATAAAATTAGTGCTGCAGAAATATTATTTATAACTAAATCTCTAAGTAAAATTTGCTGGACATTTAATCTTAAAAGAGAAACTGAATGTATACAGGGGTACGCCAAGAAGGACTTCAGGCTTCCTGGTAGAACAGTGTAACCACTGATGAGGGTTCACATACCTGATGTCTCCTGTGAAGGAGTATGACCTACTTCTCCCTGGTGTTTCTTTCCAGGGCATCCTAAGGACTTTTTATGGCATTTAAAAAAATATATCATTTTTGAGGGTCCTGTAGCATAAGGCTGGCATCTGAGAGTATGTCTCAGCCCAGTAAGTGTCTTAATCAACATTTGTGTATCCATGTTTGAGAAAGGCTTATAATTCTTTCCTTGACCCATGTGGAGTCTGGGTGGGGGAGGGGGTTAGCTTCTAGTGCCCATAATAGTCTTTACAGGCTTGGGGATTTGAAGTCTTGTGACACAGATCTTGTGAATGTCCAGTATGTGTTGTACTTGATATCTTTTCCCCATTTTCCCACCTGAGTGCTTCTCTTCCCATATTCACTGCTGAGTATTCACAGTTACCCGCTTTTTACAGAAATAAGCACAAGCATTGCATTTATGTTCTGAACAACTTTTATTATTAGTACAGGAAAAAGCAATTTTTACTTCTAGTACAGGTAAAAACAATTTTTCTAGTACAGGTAAAAACAATTTTTACTACTAGTACAGGAAAAAACATAATAGTTAACAAATATTGGGGAAAGTACAGAGTTACAAGAAATCATAAAAGTACTAGTGAATTGTTATTCCTGGTCATCATTCAGTTACTTTTGGGGCTTAATCTGCCTTCTTTTAGCCCCTCTCCGAACTCCCTTTTTAGATGTTGGTTCTGGGAGCCCCTACTCAATCTTATCTATGGGATGATAGACCAGGCTACTCACTCTAGCACGAGGTAGATTCAAATTGGCACTGTTGCTGGGTCTGAATCCCAGGTTGTTCCCTCTGACCCCTGGGTGCAGCCACCCTGGATCCATAACCCGCTGGGTTAGGAAGGCACTTTCCTATCTGGCCTCTAGGATTTCTCCTTTGAGAATGAGGCCATCCGACTTCGACCTTTCATTACCTCCCTTATCCCTGTATGAGGTTTCTCTTGTTCCGTTCCTTTTTAGCTTCACTTTCTCTCCTGGTCTCTTTCCCTCTAGCTAGACTTGTCTAAAGCATGTCCACCAACCAGAAATTTAGCTGGCTGTACTCTTATGTAAAGTTAATTGTATTTACTCTTGTTCCAGACCAGTATCTGGGCCCAGTCTTAAAGTAGCCCTCTGGCTTGTGCCGGCACCCTGGGATACTCTGTACTTTTATCAATTTTTTCAAGTAGCCCCCTCTCCTTGTTTCATAATTCTTCCTCCCATGGTACTTCTCACCAAGTTTTTGGTTTTTAAGAAATGCAGTTACTTCCCCACTTAATTTTAGAGGGAAGTGAAATGCTTGAACCCATCAAAGAATCTAGCTCCTCCCAAATGAGAATACTAGCTCTTTCCATTTCCCAGTTTCCCTTGGATAACTGATAACTCAGGTGCCTCACAGACCCCAGGAAATGTCTGAACAGAATACAGTAGTTTTACAATATCAAAATACATAAAACAACAATATCAAAATTACGGCAGTTACATATAGTTCAGGAGAAACAACAACAACAACAGAAAACATTTCTACTAAGAGAGTAAGTATAAGGGAGGTTTTCTAACCCCTCTATTTAGAGTAAGGGGTTAATTTCTTTTTAAAACATAAGATGTTACAAATTAGCCCAAAGGTTTCAACCTTTGATCTGCTTGGCTCTGGGCTCTTTTGCTTGATGGTTTGTTAGTATTTTATTTATAAAAATTTGGCATTTGGAGAATTTTTTTTCTTTTCTGTTAAGTTCAAAGGGTTTGCTGATTGGTGCTAAAAGTCAGTTATAAACTCTTGTCATTGCGTCTTGGAGAAGAGAAATGGTATTTTGTCTTGGGCTTTTCAAAGTGTTGAGTTGATTTATATTTGACCCATCATTTACCTGCTTAAAAACAAATTCCTGTCTATTCCTTTGTCTTTGTCAGAAGTTCTAAAATTTTTAATCTATGGCCAATCCAAAGTCTTTGCTATAAAATGAATAGATGTGAGATACCAGGACATAGAGGGTAATAAAAGTCTTTTACCCACTCCTTTTTTGCATTTTCCCATTGCAAATATGCCAGATTTTACCAATTACTTGAATATCTCTACATCACCTCTGTTTTGTCTCATCTCAGAAAATATATTTTCCTTATAATCACGGGAAAAAAGAAATTATATAAATCGTGATTTCCTTCAACTTGAAAATTGTATAGCATAATAGAAAGGAATATAAGTTTTAGAGATAGACAAATTGGATTTGAATTCTGACTGCTACATAAGACTGTGTAACCATGGACAAGTTATTTGATCTCTCTAAGCCTTTCATCCTTGTTGTAAGGATGAAATGGCATTCACTAAGGTGATTAGCATGGTGCCAGACAGAGAGTAAACACTCAATAAACAGAAGCTATTATTGTTTCAGTTCTGGAACTATCCACTTTCTTCTTTTACCCTCCTTAAAAATCAAGTCTTCCACAGTTCAAAAGACACACACCCTCTAATCTCCAGAAAACGATCTTTGTTTTATCTTTCAACTTTCCCATTCTCCCTTACTTTATAAGTGTATAAAAAATCTACACCATCTGAAAAAATTTACTTTAACCCAATGTCAATATGTCACCATAACTCCTTCCCTCAGATTACGGGAAATCTGTAGAAAGAGTAAGTCTCAACTCAGTCCTACTTATTGTGTCCTGGCCTCCAACAATTTACTCAAAAGTTTTTAGAAAGTCTTCAAGGCAGCATTCTTTCTTAGCATCCTTTTGCATTCAGCAACTTACTTTCTGATGAATATTTACTGCACCAGTAACAACATACTTATGCAGCAGTCTACAAATGTTTCCCCAATTTGGACCTCTGTAATATCCTTACCTATTTAATTTTATGTTCGATTACCTATTCAGAACTGTTCTAATCCCTATACTTTTATTATTGGACTGTCAGGCCTTACTGCATCATATTTCTCATCTTTAACCATTTCAGCATATTTAAATAACTCATTTAAAAAGCTCCAATAGAAAATATCCATACTAAGATCAAGTTTAACAGTACAACTATATTAGGGATGCTGTCTCTCAAATAACAATTTATAACTCTTTCATGTATGCTTCAGTTCTCGACTTTTCTGCCTACACTTCTTTAGACTTCCAGGTTAACTTGAGCTACCATAGAAATGTGATGGACGACAAACTCTTCTCTGAATCTGTAGTCTCTCTTCCAGATTTGTTGTTCAGTTTTAACTATATTAACTCCTGATACTCTGTATTAAATCTACAACTTCAATGAAGTAAAATTGATCTCAGAGTATTTTACTTTGACTCACCTCCATCCACTCACTGGGATTCACATTAATTACCCTTGATGAAACTTTTTACATTTTTTCAAGCTAAGTGCATACTTTGAATTTTTATTCAAACAGTAAAACAGGGTGGAACATTACTTTTATCACCATTTTCCCTGTCTTTATCACTAGAATTCTTATCAATCTAGCCTTAAATCAACATTCCTCCAGTTTGGCCCATTAGGAAATTGTCCGGGACTCCCAGTGTGAAGCCTCCTGTTCACCTCATTCATCTTGTAACCCATCTACCTTTCATCACACATGTTGAAATGTCTAGCATTCCCTCTATACATTCAACCATTTGGTCATCCTGTTTCGTGTTCGCCTTTCACACCATCATCATCAATATCCATAATCTTTATTGCTGCTTTTCTGAAATGATAACTCTATCCAGAATGCAGTGTAAACATGGCATATCCATTCATTTCCTCTCTTTGCTTTTGGCCTTAGAAAAACCCTCTGCTTGTTTCACCACCCAGGCTTGGTTCAAAATCTGCCTGGCCTTTGAATGGATTCAGTATGTCAGCGTGTGAACTTCCTGCCTTCACTTACTCTTTTGACTCAGAACAGTGCCATCCTTTTGAACACATCTTCAGCTTTAGCCATCAGAGGTACTAGTGTTATGAGGATTGCTGCTGCTCCTTCTCCCTTCATGAATTTATCTCCATATGACCGTTTGTTTACCTGAATTTACCCACTTTAATATGATTATTTGATAGACATTTTAGGTAGCGACCAATTTCCATATGACAATTTCTTTTGATATATTTCTAATATTTCCTTTAGGATATGTAGCTCATAGCTCCCTCCATTGGGATCCATTAATTGTGATCAAGTTTAACAGGCAACATGGTGCGTCATAATCATTATAATGTTCCCCAATAATTCTAAGAATAATTTAATATGTATACTGTTGACTTAATCCCAATTTAATTTTAACCACTTCTTTCCACCTTTCCTCTTCTAGTTTTTATTGGAAAAACATGAACTATGTCAACCATCTATTGTCAACTGTGCATATTTTATCAGTGCCAAATGCCATTCTTTCAAAGTCCATTTGATTGCACTATACTGCCCTTATTTATACTTAGCGATCCTATAGCTTCTCCCTCTGTAAATATTCTACATTGTCTATTTTCCCATAAAACAGTGCTTGCCCACAGGTAAAACAGACACCACCTACCCTTTCTTATATCCATTAGTATGCTCCTACTGTCTGGCTTCAGTAGTGAACAATCCACCCCTCTTGTTCTCTGAGATCTGCCACATCCCCAGATTGTGGGCTCTTCAGGCTACTTTGCCCTTTGCAATGCCCCTTTACCCACCTAAACCCCTCTCACAATCAAAAGGTTTTCTCCTCTCTTCCATGCCATGCCATCCCTTTCTTGTCCCACTGCCAAACCTTAAAACAACTCAAATCCTATCAGCTGCCTTCTCATGAAGCCCGAGATCCCCTGTCTCTCTCTTTCTGTGCTGGGTGCAGAATAAACCTCGCTTGGTCGATCCTCTGCCTTTTCTCCCCTTCTTGTATTCGAGGACCCTCTGCTTCATCTTCGACATAGCATTCTACTTTTCATGCCACCTGCCAGCCATGCAGTAAGTTTACTGTTTTTTTCCATTGACAATTCCTCCCCTCTTGACCTGCACTCACACTTCATCCATTGCCAGCTTCATTGTCCTCAACCAGCTGTTACTGAATCCAGCTGCCATGTACATTGAGCCCTAAGCACCCACCTTTTCAGGTCTGCCATTGTGGAAAAGGGCATCACTTCTCTGGGCTTCTCCCTGACCTTCCATCATTTTACCATGTCATGCCCTGACAGGGTTGTAGTCAGCATTTTAAAGGCTCACTATCTCTACACTTCATCTGCCTTGTTCCTCTTCCCACCTGTCCCTGTTTCTCATGTGCTTTATATGCTTTGTGCTCTTCTGCATGGGCTAGCTCACACCTTTCTCATGCTCAGGAGGCAAAGTTCCTCAATTCTCCATATACACTCCCATCCTTAGGTTCTTCACCATCACTCTTGGCTCAGTGGTGCACTTTTCCTCTCAACAAACCTAACCTTTCATACCTGCGAAGTGCCATCCATCACCTACCCTTTTTCACTGTCCTAGCCCATTGGGCGCCCTCTCCTCTAACACATTCTCCTAGTGTATGAGGCAGTTCACTTGAACTCTGACCTCTGGGCAATATTTTTATTAATTCTGCTTCATTCGTAGCAAGAAACTCTCCTACCTGAGCCATGAGACATTCTTTCAGCTTCTATCTGTGGATCCTCCTGCTAGATTCAGCAGATTGCTCTCCTGTGCATTCCTTCATGATACCCAACCCATTACTCAGCCCAATCCAGTCATCATAGCTTCAAACATACTTTACTGCCTCCATATTTTCCCCACACCAACCCGGGCTCACACCCTGTAGACACAGACTGAGCTTTCATCCCGGACCCTGAAAATGAAACCCACGGAAACCACCTGTCTTACCATTCAGATGCTTTTCATGCACACATATTAACACAACGCTCTGAGCGATACTTCTGATTCTCCTAACTTTAACCACTTACGCTGACATATTATACAACTTACCACGTCCCTCTTCTACTAGATCTCCTTCTTAGGGCCCCACACTGCACCTCCAATGCGCTCCACCCTCCTTCCTCATCTAAATGTATCCAGTCACTTGCTCTCTCCTTTCAGTCTGCATAGAGGCTCCATGAGGAAGGAACCTCCTTGCCGAGACCTTTCTTCAGGGACCTGTGGTCTCCCTTACCTCCTGGACAAGTGGCATCATCTTTCCTCTTCTCCAGGCGCTGTGCGTCTCTTTGAGGCCCCCCGTGTCTGCCCTGGACTTGTAGGGACCATCCCTGTCTGCCCTGGACTTGTAGGGACCAACCCTTCTCAACGCAGTTGTCCTCCCTCAAACCCGACGATTCTTTTCCCTGCTCACTGTCTTACCATGCCCTCAGCAGGATACATTGTGCCCTGAAGCCATCTCTTCTCGCTTGGTCCCTGCCTGCGGAGCCGCCCACCTTTCCCTTCCTTTAGCCATGGCCAGCCTCACCTTTCTTCCTGCCATCTCCACCTGCTTCATCCAGCCCTTGCCCACCCACCCATGAGGCTCAACCCGCCCCTTCCCTCTCCTCTTCCTCTCCTCGCCTCTACTCTTTCCATCTCCTCTGCATCGGGCCCTGCCCATCACCCTCGCCCTCATGCCTACACCTGCCCTGTCCACATCACACCTTTGCCCTCTGGGACTGTAGCNACGCCTACACCTGCCCTGTCCACATCACACCTTTGCCCTCTGGGACTGTAGCCTTAAGCCCTCCCTATGGCCGCACACCCCGACACCGGGGAGCCCAGTCCTCCGGACCTGCAAAGGGACCCAGGTACTGCCCTGCACCCCTCCTCATCTCCACCCTCTCCCAGGAGCCTTCTCTCGCCCCCATGCAAGTCTTCAGTGTGGCCTCCCTTCCCAGCTCCGCCTGCCT